TTCCCTACCTGAGGTGGTGAGGGCAGGTCTGTGAAGGTCAGGGAGAGGATATGTATGGGAACTAGGGAGGGAGGAGCAGGAATTTGGGCAAGTCCACTGCCCTGGTTGGCTGACTCAGGCCCTACGTCTGCCAGAGGCATTTCAAGCCCTCCCCAGAACTGCCCTCCTAATTCCTTCCCTCCCTCGGGACATTCTCAGGCCCTGACTCAGTCCCTTGGCCCCGCTCTAGGCAGGAGGGAGGCTAGGAGCAGCTGAGGCAGCCTCGCAGGGCACTCCGATCTCGCTTGCTGTCCCATCCCTGACCCGGTCCTTTCTGCTTCCGCAGACCTGAATCTGGACTGGACCTTCGAGGAAGCACCCAAAGGTGAGGGGGTGGCCCGCTCAGCTTGGCCTTGAATGTGACCCTCCCTGCAGCCACACCTGGCTCTGGGGCTTCCCAGTTGGCTTAGTTCAACCTGAGAAGTATGTATGCCCATTTCCGGTAAGCTCCCAACCCCTGGCAGGTGGCATTCGAGAACCTCAGCTTCCCTGTCCAGTGAATGCCCAGCCCTGGTGGTGATTTCTCTGGGCCTCTCTTTCCTGATCCCTAAAATGGGGACACTACCCACCCCAGAGCTGTTTTGAAGATTTCTTAAAGAGAGCAAAGTTCTTCGTGCAAAGCCCACATTCCAGAGCCCGGAACACCACCCTTTCCCCAGGAGCTACCCAGGACTGAGGGTGGGCATGGGTGTCAGAACCTCCAATGGTCAACCAGGTGACCTCAACCCCTGCTCTCACCTGCCCGACCCTACCTGTCTTCTCCCACCTGCAGTGGCTTCCTCCTGTGCCACCTCTGCAGACTCACGGTGTCCAGGGCCCCAGCAAAGACCTGCATCCCGGCCAGGCCAGGCCTCCTCTCTGAGCGGGTAAGCCGCCATAGGGAAGGGGCCTGAGGGCTGCAGAGGGGCCCTGGCTTCCCTGTGGGGACTGGCAGCCCCTGGTGGCAACAGCTGGCACAGCCTCAAAGTAGGCAAGCTGGGGGTCTGGCTCCCCTGACAGTTCAGCCCTTCCCAGGATCCCCACTACTCCGGACACTCCCTTCCCCGCCAGGGCCCAAGGGGAGTAGCAGGCAGGGGTGGACTTTGCACCCATTCCTGGTCAGGACCCCTGTGATGCTTTTGTGGTTGGTAACAGGATTCATCATCCCAAAGATCCACGGATTCTATGGGGTGGAGAGCCGGGCATAACCACGAGTAGGCGTGGATCTGTGGCCATCGCTCTGATGCCTGAGAGAAAACAAGGGGTGGAGGGTCCAAGTTTCCTCCCTGGTGCCGCGGAGAGGGGAGCCCCTCCAGGGAGGGGAAGGGTGCAGCTGCTTTTCTCTGTGCAAACCACACGGGCCCAGGCCCGGCTGCCTGGACCTGGAGGGGTTCCACCCGCCTTGGGAATGAGGAGCTTTGCCCTCAGTGACATCGGTGAGCTTCTTACACGGGCCTGTGGCTCTCGGTATCGGTCAATAAGACAGAGGCTCCGAGCTCACGAATTGGCTCAGGGTTCTGGATTCAAGCTGGCGTGTCGTGAGCAACTTAACCAACCTAAGCCCCAGTGACCCCATCGGTTAAGTGGGGTCACTGAGTGGCCATGAGGATTAAGGCTCATAGCAAGTCTCCACAAACATTATTAATATAGACTTAATCATGACAAGAGCTTCCTTAAATAAGGAACGACATATTCCATTCTCATTATCACCAATATTATTTTGAGAATAGAGAGCAGAGTCATAATTACAGTCAACAAATCCTGACCCTGCGGTCAGACATTCCATCATTTGATAAGCTTGGTACAGTCATTCCACTTAGTGAAGACATCCAAATTCAACAGAGGCTGGGACCTTTAAGCCAGCCAAGAAGGGAGCCCTGGAGGGGACTAGGACAAGTGTGACTGCAGTGCCTGGAATGTGGCAGGAGTGGTCTCGCAAATGAAGTCATGAATTCAGCACCCTCAGAGCAGGGAGGCCCAGGGCTCTGAAATCACATGCGCAGGGCTCCAGGCTCTGTTCCTGCCCCGGCTTTTCCTCGGACTAGTATATAGTCCCACACCCTTGGGCACAGGTGCAGCCAAAAAGACCAGCTTCACCGAATAAGCACTAACATACATAGCCACAGTCACGGGCAGACTGGACGCAATTGCAGCTACGCACCAAGGCCAGCGGGAAAGGGACTGGCCCCTCATGGAGCAGATGCCTGAGTCAGGCCTAAGCTTCACCACACCCTCGCGTGGGTGGGAATCGTTCTGATGTTACAGGCATTGAATCTGAGGCTCTGACAGTTCAGTCACGTGCCAGAAGGTAGCACAGCCAAGTGGTGGAGCTGAGATTTGAACTCAGAGTTCATAACCTTCCACAAGTTACCACTGCTCCCGAGCCTGGGGCAGGAGAGGACGGGGTGCACTCCCTCCACCAGGGCTGTGTTCTCACTTGAGTCTCAGTTTCCCTAAGAAACACCCTCCCCTTTCTCTAGAAGAAGCTGGGACCCCTCTGAAGAGTTTCCTAGAAGCACCTTCAACTGTAACCCTGGAGCATTCTCCTCCCTGCCCAGGACCCCAAATCAGGTAGCCCTCCCAGCTTCCTCCCCACAGGGTCCCCAGCGCCTTTTTGGCCAGCCCCCCCACCCCCCTGAAAAGAGCACAGATAATGCCCTTTCTGTTGGGGCCGGTGCAGCATGGCGAATCCAAGTAGGGGAGTGGTGGTCATAGGGGTGGGGCAGTGGCCTCTACTCAAGCCCATGCCTACTCACGTCCGTGCAGGTGCCCCGATGCAGAGAGAAAGCAGATAATGTCTGGGCAGAAGAATCTTGGAACCAGTTTCTGCAAGAACTAGAGACTGGGCAGAAGGTGAGTGTGGGCCTGGGCCTCTGGGAGTGGCTGACCCTCAGCCAGTGCATTTTGGCAAGCGAGTTGGCCCCCTCTGACTCACCCTCCCATCTTCAGCCCAAGAAACCTCTGGTGGATGACCCTGCTGAGAAGCCCTCCCAACCCATTGAGGTGAGTGCAGCAGGGAAGGTGGGGGAAGGGGAGACAGCAATGTTGGGGGACAAAGGAGAATCTCTGGGTGATGCTGGCCCGGTGACCATGGGCAAAGGACACAGATCCCACAGCTCCCACCCTCTCCAGCCCCGCACAGTTCATCTTTGTATCCCCAGCACCCACCACAGTGCCTGGCATTCAGCAGGCACTCAAACATGCATGGAATAAATGTGTGTTGACCAAAGCGGGAGCAGAGAAAAGAGTGGTCAGTGTGGCCTGGAATTTTCAGGAAGTATTCTTAGAGGTTCGCTGAGCTCTAAAGAGTTGGGGAGGTTGGGCTAGAGGGCGCTCAGGATGGGGAGGCGCGGAAGCAAAGTCTGGCCGGCAGGATGGGCAGTGGCGGGGAAGCAGGTGGGTGCAGTGAAGCCAGGCCGCGGAAGGCCACGAAGACTAGATGGGAGAGAAAATGGGGATCCCTGCAGGCTCCTAATTAGATAAGTAACCACAGTTGGCACTGGGGCACAATCAGAAAGTCCTAAGGGGCTATCTTGGGAGTTCCGGATGGCTGCGCCCGTCCTGGCCCGGCGCCCTGCGCTCTGCGCCCCCCAACCGCGCACTGCTTCTCCCCCGCTCCCTCTCCCCCGGTTCCCACTCCCCAGCCGCTCCCATCACCGCCGCAGGTCCTGCTGGAGAGAGAGCTGGCCAAGCTGAGCGCGGAGCTGGACAAGGACCTTCGGGCCATTGAGACCCGGCAGACATCTCCCAAGGTACCGACCTCCCAGTCCCCTCCCAGAGACGGCGCCCGAGTCCGCAGCAGCGGGGCTTGGGGGAGCGGGGCTACCAGAGGTGTCCCTCCGACTGCACTCAGCGCGACCTCGGGCAGACTGCACCCCTGTCTGCGCCCTCCCCTCTCCAAGGCTGGGCGGGACTT